GGATATAAAGATAATAAATAGTACTTGATAGTACTACTGATTCTTATTAAGGAATCAATTTAACCCCTACCGGAAATCGAATCAATTGTTCCAATAGTTTTTTAATTAAGAAATCTTTCTAGATGCTTCTGGATCCTTAAGAAATCATGTACAAAGTCATGTAGGCACCTATAAGGCCTATGGTGTACGTGATCAGAGGTATTGCCAACTAGGATCAAGATGTAAAATAATCTATAGTGATTCTGATATGATTCTTATATGATTTTGATATGATTTTGATATGATTTAGATATGATATAGAAATAATACATTTCTTAGATAATAATATAGATATAGTGGGTAAAAATTTCCCACACTGCCCACAGGTGATAATGGAGCTGACACAGCCCACAGAGGATAATTGGTGACACTGTACACAGGTGACAATGTCCACAGGTGATAATAAGGCTGATTCTGCCCACGGGTGATAATGGAGCTGACACTGCCCTCGGGTGATAATATCACGGACACTGTCCACAGGTGATAATGGGAGTGACACTGTCCACAGGTGATAATGGGGATGACATTCCACAGGTGATAATGGGACTGACACTGTCCACAGGTGATAAAGGGACTGACACTGTCCACAGGTGATAATGGGGCTGACACTGTCCACAGGTGATAATGGGACTGATACACTGACCACAGGTGATAATAATGGGGCTGACACTATCCTAATGGGGTTGACACTGTCCAAAGGAAATAATAAGGCTGATACTGCCCACAGGTGATAATGGAGCAGTCACTGTCCACAGGTAATAATGGGGCTGATACTCTCCAAATGTGATAATGGGGTTGGCACTCTCCACAGGTGATAATGGGGCTGACACTGTCCACAGGTGATAATGGGGCTGACACTGCCCACAGGTGATAATGGGGCTGACACTGTCCACAGGTGATAATGGGGCTGACACTGTCCACAGGTGATAATGGTTGGTGACACTGTCCACAGGTAATAATTGGGGTGACTCTGTTCACAGGTGATAATGGGGCTGACACTGTCCTCAGGTGATAATGGGGCTGACACTTCCCACAGGTGGTAATGGGGTGACACTGTCCACAAGTCATAATGGGGTTGACACTGTCCACAGGTGATAAAGGGCTGACACTGTCTACAGGTGATAAAGAGGCTGACACTACCCACAGGTGATAATGGGGCTGACATTGTCCACAAGTGATAATGAGGCTGACACTGCCCACAGGCGATAATGGGGCTGCCACTGTCCACAGGTGATAATGGGGCTGACATGGCCCACAGGGAATAACGGGACTGACACTGTCCACAGGCGATAATGGGGTGACACTGTCCACAGGAGATAATGAGGCTGACACTGTCCACAGGTGATAATGGGTCTGACACTGCCCACAGGAGATAATGAGGCTGACACTGTCCACAGGTGATAATGGGGCTGACACTGCCTGTGGGAAAACCCTGCCAGGATTGATATGAGAGGAGACTACCAAGGACTTGTACTGTACTAAATTAAAATTTACTCTATGCAATTAATTCAACTAAAATCTCTAGCTAGGGTTTTAAATCCTAGCTCCTCTTTTCCTAATGACAGATTGTGGGCTGTAAGGGGCAGGTGGGGTGAATGAAATAGTTGATTGAAGTTCCTGTCCACCTGCAGACAAGTATCTCACATTAACTTGTATTTTTCATACAAGGATAAGATTTAAATAAATTCAGTTCTATGACTGAACACTGGTTCTGTTAAAAGCAGAGATTTAAACATATACATAGTCCAGCCTAGCACCATAACTATTAACAGTCAATATACTCTTATACTAATAACACAACAATTTAAATTGTAGAAGTATGATATTAAATGATTTTAAATGTGGTCTAAGTCCTGTTAACTAAGCACTAAAATTATATTCAATTAGATGAATTTTTATGATAAATGAGAGATAACTAAGCAAGCAATTGTTAACTTAATTTATATGTTCAAGGATATATATATATATATATATATATATATATATATATATATATATATATATATATATATATATATATATATATATATAACGCGTTTTCGGCTATATATATATATATCAGCAAATATATATATATATATATATATATATATTCTGCATATATATATATGCATATATATATATATATATATATATATATATATATATATATATATATATATATATATATATATATATATATCCCACCAGAGTAGGCCCACCATGGCCTACTCTGCCAAAGCACAGGGAGATGGCACTCGAGGCACAATGAAGTTAACGACATCATCAAGAGGAGCCTCACCACAGCTGGATGCCCAGCTGAAAGAGAGCCCCGTTACCTAACGCCCCGTAACTCTGATGCTCTTATTGGTCGCCCAGATGGTATCACAGTGAACCCCTGGAAGAATGGCAAGCAGTTGGTATGGGACTACACGTGCGTATCAACCCTGGCTAACACCTACATTAACCTCAGTGTTGCACAACCAGGTGGCACTGCCACCCACAGGGAAGCAGCCAAATCCCGTAAGTATAGTGAACTGGATCACCACTACAATTTTGTCCCCATTGCTTCTGAGACACTCGGCGCCTGGGGTAAAAGTGCTACCAGTTTTTTGAAGGAACTGGGTTCTAGGCTCATTGAAACAACAAGGGACCCAAGAGCTGCAAGCTTTCTTTTCCAGCGCCTCAGTGTGGCGATACAGAGGGGAAATGCGCACTGCATCCAGGGTTCCTGCCCGCCATCTGAGGAGCTGGAGGAACTTGACAACCTATGATAACCATCTTTGTAACCCATATGTAACTCCTTTTTTGTAACAAAGTTCAAATAAAGTAAATATATATGTGTAAAAAAAGTATATATATATATATATATATATATATATATATATATATATATATATATATATATATATATATATATATATATATATATATATATATATATATATATATATTCAATTTATATGAAGAGGTTCAGTCAGCCTGATTGAATATTTTTCCTCAAGGGACACTCATGAGGTTTTGTTTACCTTGCGAGCATCTTCATCCTTGGAAAAATATTCAGCTGCTGCACTACAATATTAATATACTTATTGATATATGAGGCGTTGCCTCACTCTACAACCGACAGACAAACTTACTGGATATATTAAAGTTATACAAGCATTCAATTGACCAATTAATACTCTAATAACATTCAATATACTTCTCTGAATGCCGGGTGCCTGTCTGACAAAGTGTGCCAAACTGGATAACTCTCTTGTTGAGATAGGTATGATATTTTATATCACAGCTTTGCTGTATATTGTTCTGGTAGCGTTGCTATGTGATTATTTCCTTAATTACATTACAGAAGGATGATAGGTGATGATTTTAGAAGTGGAGACAGTGTCATTTTGTGTGCTTCATTGTACACTTATTAGATATATTTTAGGAATTTTTCCTTGTAGATATATTGTCTAGGAACTCCTCCAGTTCTAGAGAGTAACACTGGTGATAAAGATAATTCGATAAGGTGTCCTGAGTTAAGTAATGTTCGATAAGGCACTGTGGTATGTTTTCACTGTTTTGTAAACACACGACTTCTGCCCTCGGGGTGTGGTCGGCGCTTCTCTCCCGAGTTTGGCTCCACCCCTTTCTAGAGAGGGTATCTTTCAACGAATATTGATTGATTATTTTAATGTCTAGACATATAATTGAGATAAAATGTGATTATAATATAATTAGATATAGGATATAAAGATAATAAGTAGTACTTGAATGTACTACTGATTCTTATTAAGGATTCGATTTAACCCCTACTGGAAATCGAATCAATTGTTCCAATAGTTTATTAATTAAGAAACCTATCTAGAAGCTTCTGGATCCTTAACCACTGCACTGCGCAAAGCGCCTTTAGGCGCTCAGAGAGTTGTGCTTTTTGTTTTTTAATTTGGCTATATTTTAATGTTTTTTAATGTTTTCATTACTATTTGTGTTTTGAAATGGAAATAGTTGACATTGGAAACATTTTGACATTAAATTTACCTGAACATTTGTAAAAATAACAAAAATATGTCCTTGTCAATTGCACCAAGACGTTTTTGCCGAAAATAGGTGAGCAGTGCAAGGGTTAAGAAATCGTTAACAAAATCACGTCGGCTCCTATAGGGCCCCTATGGTGTAGGTGATCAGAGGCACTGTCATCTAGGATCAAGATGTATAATGAATCTATAATGATTCTAATATGATTCTGATATGATTTTGATGTGATTTTGACATGATTTTGATATGATTTATATATGATTGAGATATAATATAGAAATAATACATTTCTTAGATAATAACATAAACAGTGAGTAAAAATTTCCCACACTGACCACAGGTAATAATGGGGTTGACACTGCCCACAGGTGATAATGGGGGTGACACTGTCAACAGGTGATAATAGGGCTGACTCTGCCCACAGGTGATAATGGGTCTGACACTGTCCACAGGTGATAATGGGGGTGACACTGTCCACAGGTGATAATGGGGGTGACACTTCCCACAGGGGGGTAATGGAACTGGCACTGCCCATAGGTGATAATGGGACTGACACTGCCCACAGGTGATAATGGGGCTGACACTGCCCACAGGTTATAATGGGGCTGACACTGCCCCTCAAGTGATAAAGGGCTGACACTGTACACAGGTTATAATGGGACTGATACTGCCCACAGGTGATAATGGGGCTGACACTACCGACAGGTGATAATGGGATTGACAGTGCCAACAGGTGATAATGGGACTGACACTGCCCACAGGAGATAATGGGGCTGACACTGTCCACATGTGATAATGGGGCTGACACTAGCCACAGGTAATAATGAGGCTGACACTCTCCACAGGTGATAATGGGTCTGACACTGTCCCACAGGTGATAATGGGTCTGACACTGTCCCACAGGTGATATTGGTGCTAACACTGACCACAGGAGATAATGGGGGTTACACTGCCCACAGGTTGAGGACCTCCGCAGGATGAGGGCGCCCGTCAGGAGGCTGGTGGAGACGGGACTGGTGTTCGCCGTCCAGGAAGACCAAGATGGCCGCCGCTCCGCCAGGATAACATTACAAGATGGTCGGCTCTGCCTCCACCCACTCCTGCCTCAGCCTTCACCCACACACGCCCACACTCTCAAGGTACGCCCACACCTTTAAGATACGCCCACACCCACACACACGCCCACATTCACACACACATGCCTACACCTACACACGCCCACACCCATACCCACACACGCCAACACCAACACACACACACACGCCAACACCCACACACACACACACACACACACACACACACACACACACACACACACACACACACACACACACACACACACACACACACACACACACACACACACACACACACACACACACACACACGCCAACACCCACACTCACGCACACATACACACACGCCAACACCAACACAGATGCACACACCCACACCCATACACAAGCACACACACGCCCCCACACACACACACACACGCCCACACCCACACACATGCACACACACGCCCACACACACACGCCAACACCAACACACATGCACACACGCTAACACCAACACCCACTCACACACACACACACACACACACGCCCACACACACACGCCAACACCAACACACACGCACACACGCTAACACCAACACCCACTCACACACACCCACTCACACACACACACACACACACACATGCCTGCACACAGTCCAGGCTGCCAGGGAAGGCACAAGTGTAGGACGGTGGTCTGCGAATTAATTCAGTATTCTCGGAATATTTACGTACCAGTGAGCCCAAAACATAGTTTTGAGTCATACAAAGGGTAGAGCAACGCAGTGATAACGCAACATAGTGAATTCTTATAACGTTGGATAAGAAAAAAATTGAAAAAGAACGAGTTTGTGGTAAGACAGTGGCACCAGCGGGCTGAGAAGGGAAGAATTTGGACCACCGTGTGGAGAGGAGCTCTGGCCTACACTGACGTCTACAATTAAGGCAGACATCGCTTCATAAATCAACAAGTTGTGCTTTGGGATGCTTACTTGGAGGTGAGTGCCTCTCAAAGTCAGTCATGCAAGGTGTACAGTGTTTTTTATAAAATAATTAACTTTGGACTTAAGTTAAAATACGAAAAAGTAGCTCGAGAGTCTCAGCATGATACTAGTTTTTTCACACCTGTGTGTTACATTACACCGCCACCGACTAGTCCCCCCCCCCCCCCCTCACCATAACATGCCAATGTAAACACACACACACACAGGCACGCACTCACAAACCAGCCTACCGCCAACCTCACCCCTCACCCCTGGGATTGACCCTCCAACCCTCACCAACCTGATTGCCCTCCTTCCTCTCTTCCCCGCTCTGCCTCTCTACCCCGCTCTACCTCTCTCCCTCTCTCCCTCGCTCTTCCTCTCTCCCCCTCACTCCCTCTCCCTCACTCCCTCACTCCCGTTCACTCCTTCTCTCCCTTTCACTCTCTCTCCCTCCATCTCTCCACCAGTTAACCCCCCCCCCCACCGTGCCACTCCGACAATAAACACACACTCACACACACACACAGCTCAGAACTCAACATGGGATTCCAGGAGGTCTTCACAATAGAACAAGAAGAGGCCCCTGCACTAAATGAGGAGGCAAACCGAACAACCTTGGAGGAAATTTACCTCACCAGTGGTGAGGTCAAAAGGAATCTGTTGGAGCTGAATGTGTCAAAGGCTGTTGGGCCTGACAGAATCTCACTGTGGATTCTAAAAGAAGGTGCAGAAGCACTAAGTGTGCCACTCTCTATGGCGTATAACAGGTCACTGGAAATGTTAGACCTACCGGAAAGCTGGAAGACAGCTAATGTAGTCCCAATATACGAGAAGGGTGACAGGCAAGAGGCACTGAACTACAAGCCAGTTTCCCTAACTTGTATACCATGCAAGGTGATGGAGAAGATTGTGAGCAAAAGGCTCGTAGAGCATCTGGAGAGAAACAGCTTTGTAACGCACCACCAGCATGGGTTCAGAGATGGTAAATCGTGCCTCACAGATGTAATAGAATTCTATGACCAAGCAACACAAATTAGGCAGGAAAGAGAAGGGTGGGCAGACTGCATTTTCTTGGACTGTCAGAAAGCCTTTGACACAGTACCTCACAAAAGGCTATCTTGAGATTATCTTGAGATGATTTCGGGGCGTTTAGTGTCCCCGCGGCCCGGTCCTCGACCAGACCTCCACCCCCAGGAAGCAGCCCGTGACAGCTGACTAACACCCAGGTACCTATTTTACTGCTAGGTAACAGGGGCATCAGGGTGAAAAAAACTCTGCCCATTGTTTCTCGCCAGCGCCTGGGATCGAACCCAGGACCACAGGATGTCCTGGGTTCCTGGGTTCCTGCATGCTGTCCGCTCGGCTCCCTCTGTTACAAAAGTTGGAGCAGCAGGCAGGAGTAAAAGGTAAGGTGCTCCAGTGGATAAGGGAGTATCTAAGCAATAGGAAACAGCGAGTAACGGTGAGGGGAGGAGGCATCAGAGTGGTGAGATGTCACCAGCGGAGTCCCACAGGGCTCTGTACTCGGACCCATATCCTGTTTCTAGTATATGTAAACGACCTTCCAGAGGGTATAGACTCATTCCTCTCAATGTTTGCTTACGATACAAAAATTATGAGAAGAATCAAAACAGATGAAAATAAACAAAGACTACAGGACGACCTGGACAAACTGGAGGAATTGTCTAGAAAATTGCTGCTAAAGTTCAACTCAGGAAAGTGTAAAGTAATAAAATTAGGCGAAGGGAGCAGAAGGCTGAACACAAGGTACCATCTGGGAGGTGAAATCCTACAAGAGTCAAATAGAGAGAAAGATCTGGGGGTCGATATCACACCAAACCTGTCCTCAGAGGCCCAAATCAAAAGGATATCATCAGCGGCATATGCTAGACTGGCCAATATAAGAACTGCCTTTAGAAACTTGTGTAAGGAATCGTTCAGGACCCTGTATACCACTTATGTAAAACCAATTCTGGAGTATGCAGCTCCAGCCTGGAGTCCATACCTAGTTAAACACAAGACAAAGTTAGAAAAGATTCAGAGGTATGCCACCAGACTGGTCCCGGAACTGAGAGGATGAGTTACGAGGAAAGGCTAAGGAAATGAAGAATGAAATAAGCAACCTGAAAAGAGAGCTGACAGCAACAAAGAGGAGATTAGAGCCCTCAAAGAGAACAGTATTGATGCTGAGACTCAGATAATCATCCAGGGGGAGGGTGGAAATAGTATACTGGAAGAGAAGGCTAATATAAAATCAACATTTGCAGAAATGCTAAAAAAAAATCTGAAGTAATGTCCACAATGATGGAGGTGGCCATGAAGGCAGCCACCTCACAGGAAGCGGCAAGCTCCGCTACCCAGCTGCTGGAAAGAAAAAGAGCAGTGGTAGCTGTGGGTATTAAAGAGCAGGAAGGCTCTAGCAGGATAGAGTGGAATGATAAGGACAACGCAGCAGTGAATGAAATACTGAAGACACTAGAGATGGAGGGGGCTGAACATAGAATTGAGAAGGTTTTCAGGCTAGGCTGGTACAACAAAAACCGAGATCGTGTGTTAAAGAGAGTGTTTGCAAATGAGAACACAAAGGAGTTGATTCTAAGAAGGAAAAGCCACCTGCAACATGTGGGAGATTTAAAAAAAATATTCCTCCAGAGGGACATGACAAGGGAGGAGAGAGCCATGGCGGCAAAAGCAAGGAAGAGGCGCAGGGCAAGAGGGGAAAACCAGGAACTCACAGCTCCCAACACATCATCCCCAGGAGTGAAGGGGGGAACTCACAACCAGCAACCCAGTAACACCAGAGGGGAGGGCAACCACACCACCCTCCTGTGCATAGAAAACCCCCCCTACCCCAAACCCTCCCTGCCCCCACTCAAATGCACAGCCAAATTTATTTATTTATTTATGCATATACAAGAATGTACATTGAGAATGTGAGGATACATAATATGGTAATTACAGTCTTGTAAAGCCACTAGTACGCACAGCGTTTCGGGCAGGTCCTTAATCTAAGAAAATTTTAAGGAGGTAAATACTTGCAAAATTTATAGACAAAAAAATGATAACAGTTACATGAAATTAAAAAAAGATGAGAGAAAATTGTAGATACAGTAAATTAAAGCACATAGGTAGCTAAGATTGATTGCAATGACAGCTTGAATGGTAGTTGACAAAAATTGGTAGGCACAATACAGCAGAAACAATATAAGATTGATTGCAGTGACAGCTTGAACGGTAGTTGACAAAAATTGGTAGTCACAATACAACATATGGCTAGCACATAAAAGAAGACAGCAATGAACACAATGATAAGGTTGTTTGATACTACATAAAAATTAGGAGATTGGGTAACACTAGGTACAGAGCAAATTTAAAGCTCAGTGTAGGAAACTAAGAAGATGAAATTAGGTACTTTTTGGTTTTGCTTTTAAATAAGGCAAAAGTTTTACAGCTTTTCAATTCACTAGGGAGTGAGTTCCATAGACTAGGTCCCTTAATTTGCATAGAGTGTTTACACAGATTAAGTTTGACCCTGGGGATATCAAAGAGATATCAAAGAGATATTTATTTATGGTGTGGTGATAATGGGTCCTATTACATCTGTCCAGGGAGAGTTTCAGAGCATGGTTTGCATTTAAGAACAGGGTTTTGTAAATGTAGTTGACACAAGAGAATGTGTGGAGGGAGTTAATATTTAGCAAGTTTAGGGATTTAAACAAGGGAGCTGAGTGTTGTCTGAAAGCAGAGTTAGTTATTATTCTGATAGCAGATTTTTGCTGTGTGATGATGGGCTTAAGGTGGTTTGCAGTGGTAGACCCCCATGCACAGATACCATAATTAAGATAGGGGTAGATTAGTGCATAATATAGTGAGAGGAGAGCAGAGTTAGGAACATAATATCTGATTTTGGAGAGTATACCAACTGTTTTAGAGACTTTCTTAGTTATGTGTTGAATGTGGGTGCTGAAGTTGAGTCTCTTGTCTAGGAATAGGCCAAGAAACTTGCCATCATTTTTATTACTGATGTTAATGTTGTCTATCTGTAGCTGAATTGCATTTGATGATTTGCTTCCAAATAAGATGTAGTAAGTTTTT